TAAGGTTACCTATAGGAAAGGAAGCAAACCTAGAGAGAACAAACTTGTGAGTTACAAATAGAGGGTTTTTGGGGGTGTTCCTTTCAGGTTTACTGGGGGAGAGGGTGGCAGAAAGTAGCCTAGATAAAATTCTCTGGATACCCTAGGCATTTTTTTTTCCTACCCAGGGGTCAGATGGCACCATCTGGGGACTGAGGATTTCACCCTGAGGGCCATGATGGCTTGCCCCAAGCCAAGGGCCAAAGATAGCCCGCCCCGGGCAGAGGGCCATGACGGCTCACCCCGAGCCAAGGGCCGAAGACAGCCCGTCCCGAGCAGGGCAACACCCGCCATGGGCTGGCCGGTAGACTCCCCCTCTAACTGCTCCCACCCCATTCTGGTCCCCTCACCTGACTGAGTACTGTGTGCCCAGGGACAGCGTCTCCACTTCCAGCACCACCACATCCCCCCACCCCCCAATAAGTGGTCATACTATAATTTGAAGTAGGTGTCACTTCCCTCCCCCTTTATAAATGGCAAAGGGAACCTGAGAATTGTGAACAGGCTCCCCCCAGGCCTAAACAGCTTTTGGCAGAAGCATTAAACAGATCAAAATATGTGGTGCATTTAGGATGTCGGTCCTCTTGGACATGCTGCCACTGTTAAGTGTCATCAAGTAGACAACACATAGTGATTTTCAACAATCCATTGTATAGGTGATCATCTCTGCTTTTCCAAGGAAACCCCAATCTGTAGGTGGTGGGGCTCACATCCCCTCCACGGGTGGTGGGGCACACGCCCTCTATTTTGTGCGGGCAGCCGGCAGGCACACACCACCCCCAGCGCAGGTGACTGGCGGGTGCTCGCCATCTCCCGTGTGTCATTTCCCACATGGGTGGCCAGTGGGCACGTGTCATCTCATGCACGGGTAGCCGGCAGGCGCCATACCCCAGCGCGGGCAGCCGGAGGGCGCCCATCATCTCGTGTGTGGGCAACCGGTGGGTGCGCATCATCTCGTGCACGGGCAGCCGGTGGGGGTGGGTGTGCGCCATCCCCTAGCACGGGCGGCCGGTGGGCGCACATCATCTCGCATGCGTCATCTCCCACGCGGGTGGCCAGCAGGTGCGTGGCATCTCATGCGCAGGCAGCAGGTGAGGGTGGATGCTTGCCATCCCCAAGTGCGTGTGGCCGGCGTGCACATGTCATCTCATATATGGGCAACTGGCGGGCACGTGTCTTCTCTCAGTGGGCACGTGTCATCTCTTGCACAGGCAGCCTGTGGTTGCGCACCATCCCCCAGCGCAGGCAGCAAGCAGGCAGCGGGCGTGCACCATCTTCGTGCACAGGCGGCCGCCGGGCGCATGCCATCTTCTGCACTGGTGGCTGGCAGGCGTGAGCCATCTCCCGAGTGCCATCTCCCACACAGGCGGCTGACGGGCATGCGTCATCTTGTGTGTGGGCAGCAGGCGGTGCACACCATCCCCCAGTGTGGGCGGCCAGCAGGCACGCGCCATCCCTCCGCCCGGCGGCTGCTGGGCAAGTGCCATCTTCCATGTGGGTGGCTGGCAGGCACAAGCCATCTCCTGCGCATCATCTCCCACACAGGCGGCTGGTAGTCGCGCTTTATGTCGCACGGGGGAGGCCGCCCGCTCCCCCTGCCGCTGCCATCTTGGCTCCAAGAATTCTCCCCAGAACTAGTCCACTTTGCTGTAGTGTGGAGGCTCTGCTCCACCAGTCCTGGGGAGGCCCGGTGCCCACTCTCCATCCTGGGCGAGGGATTCCATAGGTTCCGGCTATGGGAGCTTCATGGAGCTGCGGCTGCGGTGCGGCACAGTGCGGGCTCTGTGGGAGGGGGTTGGGAGCTGCGCCACTCACCCATTCTTCCTTGGGAATCCTTGAATTCCTGTTGTTGAGCCTCAATCCTCACTGAACACCAGTCATTAACTGTTTAACTGTTCAATTATCAATAAACAGAAGTCTGTAGAAGGGCATAGTGGCGCTGTTCCAAGTGGTCCGCTGCTCCCGCAGCTCACCACGTTGTCTCTGCCTCCACCGCCATCTTGGATCTCTGATTGCTGCTTTCTTGACATCATGTGAGTCTTTTCTTAGGTCGTCATAACTATTTAGTGATCCAGAGTATGGAAATCTTTTGTGAAGGACATGTATATTTGTGCTCCTTTGTTTTTTTTTTTTTTTTTTTTTTTTTTTTTTTTTTTTTTTTTTTTTTTTTTTTTTTTTTTTTTTTTTTTTTTTTTTTTTTTTTTTTTTGTAGATATAGCAGTGGATTCCCTCAGAGTACCTGAATGGTAAACCAGGAACCCTGTTGTTCCCTTCCTGAAATGGCGTCTCCACTTTCCTCAAGGTGTCCTCCTCCCTTCCACTTGAGCTTAAGGGGTCCCATGTAGTGTAGTTAGACAACAGTGTTTCCCTCTGAGTATATGTGACATTGGTGGTCCTGGTGCTGACTAGCAGGGTCAGTAACTGAATAGATTCCAGGCTGTGGGGCAACAAGGTCTCCAGGTAGCAGTGGCTGTGGTCTGGTGCTCTGTGTGAGTTTGTGGTCTAAAACCGTAGCCCCTCTCCCTGTCAGGCAGTGGTAATATTGCTGGCTACAGTGTGAGTGTGCCTAGGCTTGGATGCAGCCTTTAGTAGACAGAGAGGAAGTGGTAGCTGGAAGTTACTCATGGGCTCCTTGCCCAGCCATGCCACAGATAGGTTGGCATCATGCAACAGAGCAAAGGTAAGGTCCCCTAATGAGCTGGTCTCACGAGAGGCTGTTCTTGATTTCTTGACTACTACCAAAATGAGTGTTGATTATGGATCTAAGCAAAATGAAATCTTTGACAACTTCAAACTTTTCTCCATCCATCAATATTTTTGTCTGTTGATTAAGATTTTAAAAAAATATTTAAAGCTGTTGTATTTGATCTTAAGTAAGTGCTTCAAGTCTTGATTAGTTTCTGCAAAAAGTTGTGTCATCAGCATAACACAGATTGTTAATGAGTCCTCTTTAAATCCTAATGCCACATTCTTCATACAGGTCAGCTTCTGGAATAATTTGGTCAGCATACAGATTGAATAAAGATGAAGAAGGGATACAACACTGACACATACACTCTAATTTTAAAACCTTGCAGCATCCTTTTGTTCTGTTTGAATGATCAGTTATTGGTTTATTTACTAGTTTCACAATAAGCACAATTAAGCTGTAGTATAGTTAAGAAAACACAAGTAAACATCTTCCTTGAGTTCTTTCTTTTCAGCCAAGATTACCCTAACATTAACTACTGTATCTCTTATTCCACAATATCTCTATCTTTTATAAAATTTTTATTTTAAAATGGTTTAATTACAAAGTTTCTTTTGCATACAACTTGAAATTTCTTTAATCTTTGACAGTCCTGTGTGGATGTACTATTCTAGCCATTTTTTAATTATCTCAACAAGATTTTGCTTGGGTTTAATAGAAATGATATTGTTAATAATTTCTGGGTATGCACATCTGTGTTTACTGCTGTATTATTGACAATATCAAAGAGATAAGCAAGTGCCCATTAGCAAACGAATGGATAGAAAAACCATGGTACATCCACACAATGAAATACTACACAGCATTGAAAACCAATGAAATAGTAAAACATTACCCAACATGAAGGGGAGCCTTAAGGACATTATGCTAAGTGAAATATCTCAGTTACAAAAGGTCAAATACTGTATAATACCACTGTCATAAAATAGGACTTAGGTGGTGGTTGGGGAGGGAATGGGGAAGAGTGGATAAATGATGAACACTCTATTAAAACAGATGAGTGGAAGAACTGTTCTAAAGGAACATATGATTATGTGTTGTATGTATGAGAACAATATGGAACAAAAGATGCATTGTGGTGTGGGCTGAGGAGAAGGAGAGGTGAGAAAATGTGCAACAATGAATTAAAAAAATAAAAATAAATATAAATACAAAAGTCTGAAATTTGTCAAGCATGAGATCAAGATGCAGCAGTAATATATTTGGTGATTGGTGAGCAAAAGCTAGTAGTTTGAAAACATAGATTAGCAGTTTGAAAATAAATATCAGAAATATTTCCAATGGCATAAATGAGACCGAGAGTGGAAGTTAAATTTTGTGCAGAAAATGATTTATTGAAAATACATTTTTTTAAAATATATAAATTGTAACCATACTTGTAGGCCCACCCCATGGAACCTACTCGTGGTGGTTTTTTGGCCCCACTAGGGGGTTGGCAGAACAGACTTACCAGATGAACTGGGAGTCTAGTGCAAGGCGCTTGCCAGCATTTGGGTGTGTTGGGCTGGTAAGACACTGAAAGCTCAAGCCCCGCCTAGGATCTTGGGATATTTAATGTCAGCTGAATCTGGACTTTGCCTTCTTTAGGCGCAGTAGATTTGAGGGCTCCGGGCACTCGTGGTGGTTTTTTGGCCCCACGAGGGGGTTGACAGAGCAGACTTCCCAGATGAACTGGGGTCTGGGGCAAAGAGTTTGCCAGCATTTGGGTACGCCCAGACTGGTAAGACACAGTAGGACTGGAGGGCTGCAGGCCTTCAGGCCAGTCTTTCATTGTTTTTGTTCAGGCATTCCTCTAGGTCGTATAGCCCTGATGTACAAGTTGCCATCTTGCGGTCACTTGTGGTGCTGTGAGGCTGAACACTGTGACACGGATGTGTCAAATGCGTTAATGGTTGGCTACCCAATGCGAACTGAGAGTGAGGTGGAGCTCCCCGATTAAAACAAGCTTGGAAGGTGGAGTGGCATCCACTTCCATAATAGCTTGCCTCTGGAAACCCTATGAACCTGGATAAAGGATGTAAGGCACCCAAGTGTAGAGGACTCTCCTTCATAGGGTCGCTATGAGTTGGCTGCAACTCGATGACACAAGAAGTCATAGGCATTGCTGGATGAAATAAACAGAAACAAAATTTACTATATCTGTGTAAAGAAACAATGGAGAAGCTCAATTTCACCAGTCAAAACAAAATCAGAGGCCCACTGTTTAATATTGATTGTTGATTACCATCGAGTCATGCCTGACTCATAGTGACTCCATAAACAAAAGACCTGAGGCCTTTCTCCAACTAACCTTTCTCCAAGTTCTTAGAGTTTCCAGAGGCATGTGGTTTAGGAAGTGGATGCCACTTCTGCTTCCCAACCTCTCTTAAAACTGGGAGCTCCACCAAACACTGTGAGCATCACAACAAATCCAGATTATCTCAGCACAGAAAATTGACAGAGGAGTACTATACAACTTAGAAGAATGTTCCTCCAAAATACAGTATCAAAACACTAAAAGATAATTCCTTAGACCCAACTTATTAAAAAGATAAGGGTCCTCTAGGTTTTGCTGACTCTAAACAAGAGGCTTTAAAAATATAATACATAATAATAATAATAATAATATACCCCAATAAAACCCCAAAACAAACAAACAAAAAATCCAAACATTCCATAATGACCCTCAACCAAAACAAGAGAGTCCATCTTACAGAGTCCAGTCACTCCACCCAGTTTCCAAAATGGAGACAAGGGCTTGGCCTTAAATTCAAGTGTCCTCCTAGAGGTCTTACTGACTCTTAACAAGAGGCTTAACAATGAAACAATCCACAAGTTCAAATGGAAACTGAAGAAAATTACAAGCACACAAAGCTATCACCTTGGGCTTATCTTACTTGAATTTTAAAACTCTTTTATGTATAGATTTGATGTATTGCATTCTAATTACTGAAGACCAAAAGAATTGTGAAATTACATCAAGGAAATCAATAATAAGAAAGCAAAAGATGATTAAAAAGACAGGAAATAAGGACAAAAATGGATGTCACAGGAGACTCTGAAGCTTTCTCTTTAATGAAGCGAAGCTAACACAAAGCGGGGAAAAAATCATGGAAGAAGATACCTGAAGATTTCAAAGGGAAGCCCAAGAAGACAAAAAAAGTATAATGAAACATCTGGAGTTAGAAAACCAAAAAGGAAGAATATACCTTTAATTTTTTACCTAAGAGAACTGAAGAACCTGAGACTCTAAGAAAACCTCCA